CGGTCAGGCTATGGGACAGGACTGTTAATAGAGTATGCTAAAAGGATTAGCCAAATCAACAGGGCCTCCAGTGTACCCCAGATAGTAGCAACCCACTATTGCATATGTGCCTAGGGCTAAGTGACACTAAGTAAATGAGATGGACTATAGTTGTCAAAACTATCAAAAATATGATACTATTTGATACTAAAAGCATAAAAGTTAGATACTAGATACTAAAAAAGTCACATGAACCCGACAGAAATGAACCTTTCCTGAATAGCTTTAGAGTGATCTTGAACTGTATCAGAACAAGTATAAGATCACATATGCTAGGACACACCCACGGACCACTATGGACAAAATAAATAGCACTTGTCTCACAGCTGGAGACATCTGCATTTAAAGGACTGGTATCAGATTTTTCTTTTAAAATGTAGATTTGCCCTTGTAGAGATATATTATAAAAGCAGCTTTTATGTTCTGTGTGCTGTCAGTGTCTAATTATCAAGTTTTTATTGGCTGCTAACCAGGAAGTAGTGAGTCATCAGTACCAATGGCGTGACAGCAAAAATCTGCTCTGGCCTCTGAAAGTTGTGAACTGCTCATAAACTCATCACTCATCAATAGAGTGTGCTAAAAGGATTAGCAAAATCTAACAGGACCACCAGTGTACCAGAGCTAACAGATATAGTAGCAGCCCACTGTAGCATGTGCTCAGGCAAAGTGACACTAAGTGAATGGGATGGACAAACACATCTCATTAAGTCTGGACTAGCTCTTGTCTCACAGAGCTGGAGACATGAGGAGGCTAAATGGTGGACAAGAGACTGCTTGTCTAGACTCATGCTGTCTGTGGACATTGATTCACACACAAGGCCACTGGGCTGACAGACACATAGCAGAGAGTGGCACATTTGACACTTTCTATGGGATCTGGGGCAAAAACTATTTTAACAGGCTACAGAACAGCAAGGGTAGGTGTTGCTGCTGTTACACATAGTGATTTTATATGTTATTAATGCATGTATTTGGGACTGATACAACCAATAGAGAATAGTGAGATGTTTCACTCAAAGTAGAAGAAGACACACTGGCATTATTCTCAATCCCAGATATGATGCATTAGAACATTTAAAGATACTCTATGTGGTAATGACAATAACACAATGGGACAGCCTCTGGTCACCAAACCTACAGAACACCTACTGTAATATGCAAACAAAATATGTTTGAGTGTCTGCTAAAATATCTGAAGAATTAGTTCACCAGGCCAGGGTAATCAGTCAATAACTCACTCACTTGTGACATCAAATCAGTATTAATTAATTTTCTATTTCAACACTCTTTTTTCTTTGTGTTTATCATCTACACAAAGTGCTATGTAAGCAAGTATATATTTGTATTTAAAGTAACAATATGTCAAATTTAGATTTAAAATTTCATAAACATGACTTATCTGAGTCCCATCAAATATAGGAATTAGTGATAACAATTAATGTTCATTATTAGTTACAAAAACATGTTGTTATAATTTGATTCTTTGGTTCTCAAAATGAGTAACCAGTCAGAGAGCACAATGAGTCTCATGTGAATCATTTGGGTTGCTAGTTTCAATGCTCAAATCCAGTTGGTTTAAAACATGAAATGACTCTCTCTGATCTGAATGTCACTACGTAAACCCCAGCACCTGCAACCAATCATTAACCAATGCTAGTGCAGCCTCTGCAGCTCAGGGAGGGAATTCTGCACTTTATAACACGAGGGAAGGCTTGTGATATGCAAACAAAATATGTTTGCATATCACAGGCAAACATATTATGGTCGCAAACCTGTAAGTGTACAAAAAACCAACCCAAAAAACATGCAACATAGGTCTCCAGGAAGTATAGCTGATAGCTTATGGAGGTCAATTAAATACAACATCAATTGAATACAATACATATAAATACAAGTGCACCTATAAATGCACTGTTAGCATACCAGCTGCATGATGGACTGACCTCTGAAAGTTGTGAAAAGCTTTTATAATCTTATGCGCAGAGCATGATTAACATTTTTGATGTTTAAGCCACTGAAAATCTGGCACAACACCTTTAAATAACAGTGCTATTTAAGGTGAGTATTTTACTTATACTAACATGATGTTCGGATACATACAATATATCTCTTAGGTCTAACAAGTGTGACTCATACTCTCTAGTCCATTACATTACTTCGTGCCAAAAGTCTACTGGGTCCACACAGCAACTACATCCTGTTGTATGTATATTAATAATGCTATGACGCAGACTTGCTCTATCACAAATGCATTTAAACAATCATAAAGCTGATTTGGTGAAGGCATTAAGACCACACAGGTGAGTGCTGTGCAGGGACAGTGGCATATGGGGATAGTACTGGTGAGGAGCTGGAGAATGGCTTTTCTGAATACATTTATATATATCAACACACAACACTCTAGGGATTTAGAAGCAGCCTGTATTTTGCTATGTTTTAAAATTTATATTATAATGTTGTTTCCTCATCAGAAACATACCTGGAGTTGTATTTTGTTTCATTATCAGCCCTAGGCAATCTCTACTGAACTAAAGATGAAAGGTAGCTGTTAATTTAAAAACTACCGCTTCATGACATCACAAGCTGGAACAGAGCATTTTCAGTTGCAGACTAATAACAAAGGATTACTCAAACGCGTGAGTGAAACAAAATACAACTCCAGGTATGTTTTTAGGAGGTAACAACATTCTAGCATGGCCGTAAGTTAATCACAATCGAAATCGAAATCCCATTTTGAATGCATGCAGTTAGCAAAGACTGCAATGATTACCACAATTACCTCCACAAACAAATTAATATCCTTTCTTATTCTGCATAAAAAAATCAGTCAGTTAAAAATATGAACTTTGAACAACACCATATTAATAAAACATAAATCACAAATCTAATCGGAATGCTTGTCAGAAAAATTGCATTCCCAAATTATTTAGCCCTACAACATAGACTATAGCAGTAAGAAGCTAATTACATCACAGGCCTGATTTTGTCCTTTGTCGCACTAATGAAATAAAGTGATGAAGACATGAATCCTAAGATCCTCTAGCCTCTCCTCCACTCGCACTGCCCTCTCCTGTCCTTCAGTGCAAATGAGCCCTATTAGCAACTCCTCCATTTTTGAATGCAGATTAGATCAAATATATTATGTAGCAAACCCAGGGACACCAGTCCAGTCCAGTAATATAGTAGTTGTATCAGTAAACTAAAGTCTAAACCAATGTGAAAGGCATCATATTATACTATCTGGTCTTGAGCTTTTAACAACTGCATAATGTTGGAAGCACTTGAGCATTTTTTAGCATTCATGTAGTGTTGTAATAAATTGTAGTAGCCTGGTAGCTAATAGTATTGTCCATTCCAATCTAGTACAGTAGGGAGTATTATACCTGCGATGACTAGGCCAAGATAATTAAGAATGGGCTGACAGTGAGTGTTCAGCACAGCAGCATAATTTCTCTAACATGCTGGTTCAAGTCGCCTGGTATGGTGATCTCCCTTGGAACAAAAACAAGAGCTTGGTTCTACTTTCTATGTAAGCTACTAAAACCAGGAAGCACTACATGTGTTCATTAGACTCCCTTGATTCATAGTGCCATGCTGAAAATGGCCTTGTTGCTAGTTTGAGATTTCAATAAGGAACAAGAAAGGGCAAAAAGTTTTTTTGTTTTTTTTTATTTCTGTACTTTACATTTATGTTGTCCTGCTGAATTCTTTATGCACTACAAAATAGTACTTAATATTTAAACACAGAAAGGATATGCTCTTTCTTCAATATATTTACAAGTATAAAAACCAAAGCAGAAGGCGGCATGTTCATGGTTTTGGTTGTCAGTGCACCATACAAACACCATATGGCTGACTTGGCAAGGCTGTGACACTAGCAAGGTTTCCTGCAAGGCCAACAGATCTGCAGACCAGTGAGCAGGAGCATAGTTCTGACTGTTAGTTACTGTAAAAATATATTAGAGCTGTAGGCCTTTAGTCATTTAGTTGATTAATTGGCCATTGCTTAGTCGATCAAATTTTGTATTAGTCAACTTACAGTTTTATTTAAATAATAATTATGAGAACAGCAGAAAGGAAAGTAAGTGAGTTAGTGTCATAGTTTGTGGTATTTATCTGTAAAAAGGTAAATTAAAAAAATTAAAATAAAGAAAAATGTAATCTTCTTTATACAATTTACTGCATAAATAGTTGTTTTGGAGTTGAGTACAGTTTGGGTCCAGTACATAGAGATAGTAGTTTTGAGCTCTTTTGCCATGTCTACTAGGACATGTCGGCAGGATATGTCTTCAATTGACCAAGAATTTCTTTAGTCGACTGCAGCCCTAATGTATAAATATAGGTTTCATTATTCATACTACTAACACAAACAATAAAATATGACTTCAGAGAGGTTGTAAAGACATATTTGCTTAATAATGTGACACTTTTATAACACATAAACATACACACCATAAGGAGATAGGACTAAATTAAGCGAATGAATGATGTAGGAGATTAATTCACCTTCCTTTCATTTATTCTCTTCCAATGTGCAAACACTACAGGAATCAAGTGGCTTGTAGGGGAAGTGGCTATGCACTGATGTTGATTGTACTAACTAAATCCAAATTGAAATAGCAAATTGGCCCTAATGTGTACTTCCTGTTTGGTCCAGCAGGGACAGTGGAGAGGGTCTTTGTGAGGACGTGGGGGAACAGTCTCCATTAGGCTAATGCTGGTGTATGTGAAGAGGCAGAGGAGGGTGCGTGGGTCAGGTGTCTGTGTGCTGGTGATAAGGGAGCTCCACAGCCTTGTGCATGTGGATGTGTGCACAACAACAAGGCCAGCACAAAGGGAGCCAGTGGAATTAGCATGCCCTCTCCTTCAAGTAGCCACTGTTTTATAGTGATCTTCAGACACTGCACTAGAGGGAGGAGCGACACGGGGGGGTGCAGGGCAGAAGAATAGTATGGAGTTACCTTCTACGTCATTACAGTCATACTCTGGAGTGAGGCATGAATGGAGACAAGAGCACACACAGATGCATAAAGCAGAGTTCTGCAGCAGCAGTGCCAGAGTGCATGTAAACAGGACTTTATATGGCTGTGAAATGAAGCCTCTAGCACACATGTGATAGAGAAGTGACTGTGAGTGAGCCTGTTAGTCAGATAGCACAGAACACTCATCACATTAGCATAAGGGCAACAGATGCAGCCATACACGGTCATACACAGTCTATGGATTAGAAGAGGGCTTACCTTTCACCCTCTCTCCGCGGTTGAGCTGAATCTCTCCCTCTCCCTGGGGTGTGTAGGGCTTTACCACAATAAAGGTACGTCCCGGGACAGCACTGTAGAGTTTCCTCTTGGGCCCCCGGGGGCCCGACAGCATGGGGGGAGTGTGATGGGGCGGGCTGGTGTCTCGTTGCACAGAACCAGGGCTGTAAACAAACACATAGGTTACCGTGGTGATCCCAGGGAGTTGGTAAGTGAAGCCCGAGGTCACCGCCATGGTGAGCACAGGGCTCTGGTGGAGCCCCCTGGACACTAAGGAGCGGGAGCGATTCATAGATGTCCCCAACTGTCCACAGTCACATGTCCATACAAAAGACCCTGCTGGCTCCACTGCCCTGTGCTCTATCTGTGTCCTGTCCTCTGCATCCTCCTCACACACGGCTAAAAGCACTCATCAGCGTCTGCTCCAGCCGCTGTCTGTCCCAGGCGTCTGAGAGCCCGTCTCAAAGCCCGTCTCAAAGCACGTCTGAGTCCAGTCCATGGTGGAGCCTCCTGGTCCAAGCAGTCCTGCTGTGGAGCAGAGGGGCTGGGGCAGCCCTCTGCTGCTGCTGCTGTGCTCCGTGCTCTCTCCCTGTAGACAGCCTGCTCACATTCACACGCCAAACGCTCTCAATGTGCATTCTGTGTGTGCGCACAGCCACAGTCTGCCCCCTCCGCTGCTAACAGCGCTGCTCTGTTAGCATGCTAGCCTCCGCCGCCAGCCTGTGGCTAACACCTCCCACACACACACATATGCTGGACGCTGGAGCTGTGTGCTCCTGTGATGGTCCATAGCTCCAGAGGCAGGCAGAGCGTGTGTGTGCGTGTGGCAGTGCGTCGTGGGGAGGGAGGGAGAGGGAGGGGAGGGGGAGAGCTCCAGCTCATTTCATTTAATAGTTGCTCCTCCCTGCTCTCCTCGCCTTAAATCCCCTCCTTCTCTCGGTCGTTCTCCTGCTCTGCTTCTCTCTCAGCCCTGTCTTTAACATTTCTCCACAATGCATCTTCTCACTGCCGCTGAATTCTAATACAACAGCAGTCTTCATTCATCACTTTGCTATTGCTGTGCAAGGAGCATTCAGTCTCCTGCTGCTGCTTACTTGAAATGCACATCAATACATTGTCTTTAGCTCCGACTGTATCTAGTAGCACATATAGACATTTAATGACAGGGGAAACTGATCTATTTTGCCTCACACTTCTAGTCCTTTTCCATCACTCTAACCTACAACATGTGTCCATATATATCTCATACTATTGGCTTCATTCACAGTTTCATTCACAGGATCAGCTCATTTGTGCCCTGACTGTCTTTACTACACACATCTTTCTGTATCCCTCTCTCCTCATCTCAGGCTTTGTTTAGCTCCACCCCGCTCTCCGTATCTTACGCTGGCTCTCCTTCTGTGTCCCCCATTGCCACTGAAGCAGGGGCAGGCTGACGGCTTTCCAATTACCGCAGGGACTGAGGGGCCGGGATGTCTGCCGCATGTTAATGTGTGAGCCCGGGCAGTGGACAAGGGAGGGAGGGGCAGAGGGAGCGCAGAGATGAGACTGTGTCAAAGTCGCACAGAGGGAACCAAAATGAGAGCGCGAGAGTGACATGCTACACCACACTTTGATTTTCAGGCATTCTATAGAGCTGTGGTCAAAGAAATTATAAAAAAAAAGTTCTGCCAATCAATTACTCGACTAAAAAGTGGATGTGGCAAAAGCACTCAAAACTATGTATGTATTTCTATGTATCTGACCCCAACTGCATTCACAAGACTACACCTACACAGGAGTTCATGCAAAAATAACTACTTATGCAGTAAGTAGTTACTGCATAACTATTTACTGCATAATAACTACATAAAGACTAGGAAACAACTATATAAAGACTAAAAGATTAAAGCTGTGTGAATCTGCTTTTTTACATATAAGTACCAAAAATATCAAAATGTTCAGCTAACTCTTTCAAAATGGTTGACAAAAGTATAGAAAATCAGATACTACCTGATACTAAAACTAGTACTAAAACATTTAAATTCCCATTTTGGCAGGTATCAATACTAAAAACGCCACAGAAATGAACCTTTCCTGAACAGCTTTAGAATGATCATTGAAGTATAAGACCATACCACAGTAAGACTAGTATATGCCAGTTGACCACTATGGAACCTACCTGGATGACTGAGGGATTCTATTCTCTAATTATTCTATTGTCTAATTATTATTGTGGTATCGGAATCAGTACTGAGTATCAAGTATATTCCTTTGTATTGAGATCGAGACACCCCTCCTTTCTGCTGTTATCCCAAATAACCTTTAAAATCCAAATAGAATGATTAGTCAGCTAATACAAATTTTGGTCGACCAAGACGCCATTGACCAGTTAATCACGCAAAATGAACCACATTTCAGACAGAGCTGCTAAACTGGGCAGTACCTGAGAACAAGAAAAGAATGAACAGTGTGATTTTTTTAACATGCATGCCCACTCCAAACTCCACCCCTGCAGCCAGTTGTTTGTAATCAGAAACATCTAGCTGTAATCAGGGAAGTCATATGTGATGTCACATAGTACTTGAAATTGTACTGGCTACTGGATGCACCATATACACTGTTTAGCAATGAAAAAAAAGAGGATTTAGTGTTTAGCTTCACTTTATGCATCAGACAAATGTGAAATTACTGTAAAATTACAACACATGGCAGGAATATCACTTTATATGTATATAAATACTTGAAGGGTTAAAGCATACTTTTGTTCAGATTTTTCCATATTTGAGATTTCTTAAAAAACTATTTATCCAAATAAAAAAATATGAACAATATTACTGATAATTTGATATATATCCCACCTGGCTCAATTCATGATTTACTTTGAGACAGTTAAAAATCATTTCCATTATGAAAAGTATACTTGCAAAATGCCAGCAAAGGGCACTTGGACTCAATCTTGTGGCATAGTGTGGAGTAAGCGACTGAAATAAGGCTAAAAACTGTTGATTAGCTGTGCTGTGCTGTTTTTATCTTTAATACATTTCTCTTTCATATTTTTACTATCTTTACTTTACTTACTTAGTTGTTGTACCTACTTCATTCCACAAAAAATAGACTACACACAAAAACAGTTTAACACACACACATATGCACAAAGTTTATAGCCGATTATAAAGGCTCGCGTGTTTCCTAGGACACCAGCCCAGCCTCTGTAACTATGGCAACTGTCAATAAAAGGAAAGGAAATGTAACTAACATCCGTTGTGATGAGTCGACCATGTAACCCAGGATGTCTGCCTGGCCAGAGGTATTCCAGACACCAACGACCTGGATCAAAGCGCTTCTTGAGATTCACAATCAAATGTCATTATTTTCTCTTTTTATCCAAAATTTTCTTCTCAAATGTTCAATCCAATCTGGTATATTTTCACAACAACTGTACAAAACAGCTGCATGTAATTAAATCATTTGAATGTATTATTCAGTCAACAAAAATTCAAACTTAAAATCATACATTCATGTTGCAGATTTTTGTGTCAAGTGCAAAATCCAATCTCAAAATCTCAATCGATCTCTCCGCAGCAGTAGAGCCTTCTAACTATACACCCATTCACTCTGTAGCTCCTTACCACCAAGTGTATAGACCTTAGAATCAGTCAAGCTTTAAAAAAAAAAAATAGTTCAAGTATTATATAGTCTGATAATCAGGGCACATTAGCATGCTAGTTAAAAGCGCATATAAACTAATAATAAATAGGATGCTCAGAATGCATAACTGTAATAACAAATAACATTGTACCACTGAAATCTGTTTAAAAGAAACTAGTTAGTTTTTTCACTTTTTACAGATACAGCTCTTTTAATATTTACAAGTTACATAATGAATCAGCACTCTGATAGAAATACTACACTATTTTAACACATTAAGCACTATTTTCTCAATGTCGACACTGTCAGCAGCTTTTTGTGTCGCACTGCCTTGCCTTCCTGAGTAACTTAGACAATTTAAAAGCACATTCATAATCAGCATCTCTTTTGACATTGGAAGAATTGCCACTAGATCTGCAATGTATGTAAGTCATGATTCAGTTCACAGAGCGCAATTTAAAGAAAACACACTGAGCTTGTGTGTGCTATACAGTCCTCTGATACCTGCGACATGGGTTATGTTATAATTTGGACATTTTAGTACAATACTGATCTGAAATTACTTAATGAAAGAAACAAGTCCACTGATTTCTGTGGTAGAATGGGAGCAATTTTTTGCATAATAAGTCTACACTTTAAAGCATGTTTGACTATTAAACTATAAGTAGGTTATATATAGGTTGCTTTCCATGCCTAGTCACTCCCCCTTCAGAGGGCAGTCACAACACAATCAGAGCACATTCCATTAATGAAACTACTGTACATCGCATCAGGTTTGTGAAGTTATGGTATATTATTGTGTATCATGTTTTTTTATTTTTAAAATAGCTGTACACAAACATGGATGACATGGGGATGTGAGTCTTGAGCAGATTCTGAAACTGTGAGTAGGGTTTGAATAGTGCCCGGGAGTGATCACTAGATTACTGATACATGCACAGATAACATATAAAAGCTCTTCAGGAATGTTTTTGGTAAGGGAACGTTATAACATGGTAGAAAGATACAAAAAGGCAATAATATTCCCTCTTAAAATAATTTCAATATTTGCAATTTGCTAATTGCCAGTGTTTAAGATGTAATTTTGATTTCAGTGCAATTAATCTGCAATGATCAACAATCTCATCTTGTCACCGTAATCAACAGTTTCCTACATCTCCACAGTCAATATGCAAAGCTATCAAAAACAAATGATGGCTAAGGTACAAAGTTAAGGCACAAGACATCTCCCCCCGTTGGTGTCCATTGTTGTATGGTCTTATCCTGGTCCTGTCTCTCCTGGCTCCAGTTAAAACACCATGGATAATGCAGACTGCTGGTGTGACCAATTTAAAGAAAGAAAACAGAAGAAAGAGAAGAGGAGGTGGCACAGGATCAAAGTAGAGTGCTGCTGTTGGGAAAGTAGAACTGTGTTAATCCTCAGGTCATAATACGGCCACATAACAGTTTAGTTTGTAGAGATATCTGAATCCTGTTATGGGATTATTCTGAGCACAATATATACTGCTACTTATTCTCTAAACTCACTATGGTC